TGCCACTGCACTCCAGCCTGGGTGATAGAGCAAGACCCTGTCTCAAAAAAAGCAAAAAACAAAAGCAATCTATAAATTCATTGTAATACCAATCAAAAGCGGGACTTCGCTGAGGAACTCTGTATGGAAATATAAAAGGTCCCTAGCTTAGGGCAATTATGAAAAACAGGAGAGGAGGAGGAAGAGACCCAAACCATCAGGTATTTAAGACATATCAAATTACAGCGCTAGAATAATACTATAGTATTAACACAAGAACGAAAAGACCAACAGAACAGACAGAAAAAAAAACCCCTACAAAAACCACGCACAAAAAACCCACAGAACAAACACCTATGTTCACATAGGCACACAATAGAGGTTACAACACAAGAAAGGACACATTAATACTAATAACTGCTAGCACTTATGAAGCATGCACTATGTGCCCTATTCTAAATGTTTTACATGTGTAATTCATTTAATGGCCATGACCCTAGGAAATAGGGACTATATCCTATATTATGGATGAGGAACGGAGGCAAAAAGGGGTGAAGTAACTTGTCTTGTGTCACCCACCTAGTGAGTGGTAGCCTTAGAGCTTGAACACAGTCAACCTGCTCCAAGAATCTGCACTCTTGACTACGCTATACAGCTTCTCTAATTTTTAACTAATTAATTAGTTATTAATTGGGTCAGGTGTGGTGGTAATCGAAAACAGTGGAAAAAATCTTAGGTCATTATCTCAAACCATTTACAAAAATAAACTTAAGGCCTGGAGCAGTGGCTCACGCCTGTAATCCCAGCAGGGTGGGGTGGAGCAGAGGTGGCGCGGATCGACCTGAGGTCAGGAGGGGTTCGAGACCGAGTCTGGAACCAGGAGCAGCGTGAAACCGCCAGCAGCGTCTACTAAAAGGATCGCAAATTAGCCAGGCTCGTCGTGGGGACCGATTGCCTGTAGTCGCCGAGCGTACTGGGGAGGCTGGAGCAGGAGAACGGCGGTGAGGACTCGGGAGCCAGACGTTGCAGTGAGCCGAGGAGGGTGCCCATTGCAACAAGAACTGGGGCAGAACACAGACGAAACTCCTCCCCAAAAGAGAAAGAGAAAAAAAACTTTAAAAAACTACAAAGGATTAAGAATCTAAATGTAAAAGGTAACCACTATTATCGTGAGGGAGAAAGAACTATGTTAGAAATAATATCGTAATAGGTCACCGGAAAAAACCGTATACAACGGGGCCGGCCGACGGTGGCATCAAGGCCTGTAAATCCGCGGGACTATTGGTGAGGGCGCGGGAGGCGGATGCACGAGGTCCAGTGAGATCGGAAACCATCCTAGGGCTGACACGGGTGAAACCCACGCTTACTAAAAAAAAGGTACAAAAAAGCTGGGCACGGGCGAGCGGTGGTGCGGCGCCGGTGGACGAGTCCCAGCTACTCGGTGAGGTGAGCAGTTCGCGAGGAATGGCGGTGAACCCGGGAGGCGGAGCTTGCAGTGAGCTGTGATCCCGCACTGCACTCCAGCCTGGGCGACAGGAGCGGAGACTCCGTCTCAAAAAAAAAAAAAAAAAAAAAAAAATACAAACCTATAACAGGGAAACTGATGAATTTTAACTTACATTAGAGTTAAATGATTTTATTCAACCAGTGCCATAGATTCAGGTTAAAAGATCTTGTGAGAGGTGTGATGCCCCTCGCCGCAGAGCGCTAAAAGCAACAAGGACTTTAAATCTCTGTTTTTTTTTTTTTTTGAGACGGAGTTTTGCTCATTGCCCAGACTGGAGTGCAATGGCGTGATCTCGGCTCACTGCAACCTCTGCCCCCCCGGTTCAAGAGATTCTCCTGTCTCAGCCTCCTGACAAGCTGCGATTACAGGCGCATGTCTCTACACCCGGCTATTTTTGTATTTTTAGTAGAGACAGGGTTTCATCATATTGGTCAGGCTGGTCTTGAACTCCTGACCTCAGGTGATCCACCTGCCTCGGCCTCCCAAAGTGCTGGGATTACAGGCGCGAGCCACAGCGCCCGGCCTAAAATCTTTTTTTTTTGAGACAAGGTCTTGCTCTGTTGCCCAGGCTGCAGTGGTGCAATCTCAGCTCGGGGCAACCTCTGCCTCCCAGGTTCAAGCGATTCTCCCACATCAGCCTCTTTAGTGGCTGGGAGTACGGGCGTGCGTCAACATGCTCAGCTAATTTTTGTATTTTTGGTAGAGATGGGGTTTCACCATGTTGCCCAGGCTGGTCTCGAACTCCTGGACTCCAGTGGTGCAACCACCTCAGCCTCCCAAAGTGCTAGGATGACAGGTGTGAGCCACCGGGCATGGCCAGGATGTAATATTTAGAGCCTACAAGAATTCCTGCAAGCCAGGAACATAGGAAATCCATAGAGAAGAGGGAAAGGATATAAACAGGCGATTCAAAAAAGGGAAAACCCACATGTTTAATAAACACATGAAAATGCAGGCCGGGCGCAGTGGCTCACGTCTGTAATCCCTGCACTTTGGGAGGCCGAGACGGGTGGATCACCTGAGGTCAGGAGTTCGAGACCAGACTGGTCAACCCCCCGTCATTACTAAAATACAAAAAATTAGCTGGGTATGGTGGCGCACGCCTGTAATCCCAGCTACTCAGGAGGCTGAGGCAGAAGAATCGCTTGAACCCGAGAGGCGGAGGTTGCAGTGAGCCGAGATCGTGCCACTGTACTCCAGCCCAGGCAACAAGAGCAAAACTCCGTCTCAAAAAAAAGAGAAAAGAGAAGAGAAGAGAAGAGAAGAGAAAAGAAAAGAAAGAAAATGTACACGATGGGATACCACCTTACACCCATCAGACTGATAAACATTACAAAACCAACCACCACCGGACGATGGAGGGATACTGGGAAACAGGAAGCTTTAGGTACTATCCGTCGTGAAGTATACACTGGTGTGACCATTCCAAAGAACAATCCAGCAAAATTAGCTATGACCAGGACCCAACTCTCAGGTGGATACCCAGAGAAATGCACCAATATCCACAAGGAGACAACTGCCAGAATATTCATGACAGTGTGGCCTCTAGGGTGTTAATACTAGAAAAAAATCTAGGTGGCCGGGTGCGGTGGCTCAAGCCTGTAATCCCAGCACTTTGGGAGGCCCAGACGGGAGGATCACGAGGTCAGGAGATCGAGACCATCCTGGCTAACAAGGTGAAACCCCGTCTCTACTAAAAAATACAGAAAACTAGCCGGGCGAGGTGGCGGGCGCCTGTAGTCCCAGCTACTCGGGAGGCTGAGGCAGGAGAATGGCGTAAACCTGGGAGGCGAAGCTTGCAGTGAGCTGAGATCCGGCCACCGCACTCCAGCCTGGGCGACAGAGCGAGACTCCCTCTCAAAAAAAAAAAAAAAAAAAAAGAAAAAAGAAAAAAAGAAAAAATCTAGGTATCCACCACTAGGGGAATAAGTCTATGCACATAGCAGCACTCAGAAGTGAAAACGAGATGACTAGCATGGATGGACTCAAAAACACAACGTTGGGAAAAAAGGTTTAAAGAAAAATCACAGCATATTATCTAGGAATTCGAAACCACTATATAGATTTCAAAGTAACACGTGCACAAATGTACACAAGTTGGACCGTAAAGCCACTTATATAACACACCAGAGTGGCTGTCTGAAAAGGGGAGTGAAAGGGGTCTGGGAATAGGAACGAAGAGAGGAAGTGATAAAATAAACAAGGAGCCTTGCATTGGCCCACAGGGTGTCAAGAACTGAGAAGGATTAACTCAATTTTGTGCACCTGAGGTTCTTTTTTCAAAAAAAGAAAGCCAGTTGCGAGACAGAGGGTCCCACACCGGGTGCAGGAAACGGCACAAGTCCGGCCAAGAACGGAGGGGGCCGCGGCCGGTGCGGAACGGCCTTGAGCGGCGGGAGGCCGGACGCCCCTTCAAGAGCTCCTCTTTCTCTCAGAAGTCGTGGGTGCGAAATGGAGGCGCCAGGGCGGCGGACGAGGCACGGTGGGCAGGAGAGCCCATTCTCCACAGCCCCGAACTCCTGCTGCCAAACCTCCTCCCCGACTGCCCTGCTTACCTGGAGCCAGCTCCGGGTGCCGGCCCCGGGACCGCCATGACCTGAGACCCGAGGGACTCTGGAACCCGGCGGCCCCGAGTTCAGCACTGGGCAGAGTCCGGGGAAGGGCGGGGCCCCGGGGACCACAGAGACGGCGGCGGATAGAGGAAGGCGCGGGAGACGCGGCCTCTCCCGGAAGCGACCGACGTCTCTAAAAGTACCAGAGAGTGGACTCGGCTGACCCGGCAGCTACAGCGCCCCCATCTTTTCTGGGAGGCTTCCCTTTTGACAGTAGGTCGCCGAGAGTGTAACTACCTTATGGCAAGTATTTTAGATTCTGAGTATAATAGATGTTTTATATATTCTCCCAGAGGAGCCAGCATGATCTTTAAAAAAGTATAAATTAGGCTTCCAGCCGGGCGCGGTAGCTTACTCCTGCAATCCCAGCACTTTGGGAGGCCAAGGCGGGAGGATCGCTTGAGCCCAGGAGTTTGAGACCAGCCTGGGCAACATGCAAGACCCTCCGCCTTTACAAAAGATAAAAACAGCCGGGGATGGTGGGGAGCGCCTGTGGTCCGAGCTACTCTGGAGGCTGAGGCAGGAGAATCACTTGGGCTCGGAAGGTCAAGGCTGCAGTGAGCCGTGATTGTGCCACTGCACTCCAGCCTGGGTGACAGAGAGAGACCCTGTCTCAAAAATAAATAAATAGATGATGATGATCGATGGATAAGATAGATAGTTGAATGAATGAAATGCTTATCAGTTGACTGATTAGTACCCAAAGGGAGGTGGGAAATGGCTCAAAAAAAACAAAAAAACAAAAAAACAAAACAAAAAAAACGCATGATCTCACAGGTCCCTAAATTTGAATCTGGATGTATCTTCTCACTTTCCTTCAATCCTTACTAAGTTTCAACAGCATGCCAAACACTCCACAACATACATGTATCACTTGTCTTTATGGAAGTTGCAGTCTAGCTGGGTAGGTCAACCAGTTGACAATTACAGCTGTCTTTTTTTTTTTTTTGAGACTGAGTCTTGCTCTTGTTGACCCGGCTAGAGTGCAATGGCGTGATATCGGCTCACTGCAACCTCAGCCTCCCGGGTTCAAGCGATTCTCCTACCTCAGCCTCCCGAGTAGCTAGGACTACAGGCATGTGCAACCATGCCCTGCTAATTTTGTATTTTTAGTAGAGACGGGGTTTCTCCATGTTGGTCAGGCTGGTCTCGAACTCCCGACCTCAGTTGATCCGCCCACCTCGGCCTCTCAAAGTGCTGGGATTACAGGTGTGAATCACCGCGCCTGGCCTACAGCTGTCTTTATGAAGTGCTGTGACAAACATATCTTACAGCAGGGGTTCTCAGCCTTGGCGCCATTAAGTTTTGGGGCCTGATCATTCTTTGTTGAGTAGGCTTTCCTCTGCAATGTAGAATGTTTAGCTGTATCCCAGGCCTCTACCCACTAGATGCCAGTAGCATTCCCTGTGACCCAGGCATCCCAAAATGTCTCTAAACATTGCCAAATGTCCCTTGGGGAGAAAGGACCAAAATTCCAGCTTTACTGGAATGGAGCTTTACTCCACCCCCTAGCATTGAGAACCACTGCCCCAGAACCAAGGAGAGGCATTTAACTCAGCATGGGGAAAAGTGGAATCTAGGAAGACTTTGAAGAGGAAATAACTTTATTCAAATATGTCTTTCTTATTTTGAAAACCAAAAAAGTAGGATACAATTTTTGAAAAATTAATAAGGCAACCAAAGTATTAAAGCAAGCAACCTCACCTCTCTAGGGTAATCTAGGTTTACAGATCTTGTCACCTTTCACTCTAAAAAATGTCCTAGTTTGGTATTCAGTAGCATTACTGTCCCAAGGTGCCTCAGCATTATCTATTACTATAAACTTTTAAGAAGTAGCAGGCCAGGCCGGGCGCGGTGGCTCAAGCCTGTAATCCCAGCACTTTGGGAGGGCCGAACGGGTGGGATTCAACAAGGTCAGGAGATCGAGACCATCCTGGCTAACACGGTGAAACCCCCTCTCTACTAAAAAATACAAAAAACTAGCCGGCGAGGTGGTGGGCGCCTGTAGTCCCAGCTACTCGGGAGGCTAAGGCAGGAGAATGGCGTAAACCCGGGAGGCGGAGCTTGCAGTGAGCTGAGATCCAGTCACTGCACTCCAGCCTGGGCGACAGAGCGAGACTCTGTCTCAAAAAAAAAAAAAAAAAAAAGAAGTAGCAGGCCGGGCACGGCGGCTCACGCCTGTTAATCCCAGCACTTTGGGAGGCTGAGGCGGGCAAAACCTGAGGTAAGGAGTTCAAGACCAGCCTGGCCAAACATGGTGAAATCCCATCTTTACTATAAATACAAAAATTAGCCAGGTGTGGTGGCGGGCACATGTAAATCCCATCCACTGGGGAGGGCTGAGGCAGGAGAATTGTTTGAACCCAGGAGGCAGAGGTTGCAGTGAGCTGAGATTGCCACCATTGTACTCCAGCCTGGGTGACAGAGTGAGACCTCTATTTCTTTTTCTTTTTTTTTTTTTTTTTTTTTTGAGACGGAGTCTCGCTGTGCTCCCAGGCTGGAGTGCAGTGGCGTGATCTCGCTCACTGCAAGCTCCGCCTCCCGGGTTCACGCCATTCTCCGCCTCAGCCTCCCAAGTAGCTGAGACTACAGCGCCGCGCCACCGGACCCGGCTAGTTTTTGTATTTTTAGTAGAGACGGGGTTTCACCATGTTAGCCAGGATAGTCTCAATCTCCTGACCTCGTGATCCACCCGCCTCGGCCTCCCAAAGTGCTGGGATTACAGGCTTGAGCCACCGCGCCCGGCCGAGACTCTATTTCAAAAAAAAAAAAAAAAAAAGAAGAACAAAGAAGAACCAAGAAGTAATACCACCCGCTCGTTG